GCGGCGATAAGAAAAAAAAAAAAATATATTAAAGAGAGCTCGCAAGGCGAGTCGGAGGATTCTGTTCCGCTTACTAAGTCGATTAATGTCGACTAGTAATGAGCATTGAGAAACTACTATAGGGTACTTGGATGACCTCCAACGTTTAAACCTATAGAATGTTGTCCTACGACTCGTTTTTGATTGGAAAAAAGCAACTCTCTAGTAAAAAAAAATGTGTAATAGGTCAAGCAATTTTGCAATTCGATTGGAGCATTTATGCGTTGTTTGTGGAGACATTGGTGAACGGTATGTATGCTATCTTGTTGATTTTGGTCGAGTGGCCGACATTCGAGTATTCTATTACTCGACAACTTTGATTGTTCGTTTGAGCTTCTTGTCCATATATATCATTACCTTTACCTACATCCCATATTACAATCCGAGAAGTCCTCTTGATTTGCAATCTTGAATTTTGATTGATTTCGAGTATTTTAAACGATATGCAAGCTTATGGTGACACTTGAATACTAATCAATTTGAGTGTAGCCTTGATATATGTTAGCAAAAGAATGAGTGAGGCACATATTGATATTCCTATGTTGAGAGTTTGTCATCTAAGGCCAAGGCGATATGTGAAGATGTGGTCTTTCGATTGTTTGAATTCGACTCATTTGAGCTAGACATCTTGATAACTTTTCTTATGCGAATCTCGCACACTTGTTCGAGTTTGTTTTCTTTTTGTTCGGGACGAACAAAGGTTTAAGTGTGGGGGAGTTGTTTGTCCCATTTTTGTTACGTTTTTCGTTGTTGTTTTGTCATTCTTTTCCCCCGTTTTTAGGTGTTTTCATCGATTTGTAGTTCGTGTTTTCTTTTTGTTCGGGACGAACAAACGTTTAAGTGTGGGGGAGTTGTTTGTCCTATTTTTGTTGTATTTTTCGGTATTGTTTTATCGATCTTTTTCCCCCGTTTTATGTTCTTTGGTGAGTTTTTAGTTCGTTTAGTGTTTTATTATGTGTTTAGTTCCATTTTGGTTTTCTTTGCGTTTTTCGTGTGTTTTTCCGGTTTTTCTCCTTGTTTTTGGTGTGCAGGTTGGAAGTCTCGTGAGGAGTCGATTTAGCTCAAAAATAGACCAGGTGACCATGGTTACGTCGAAGGGTTCGTTAGCTACACATAGGAAAAAGCGGAATGTGATTTCGAGTTCAGATGAATCCGAATGGAGCCAAAACGTAAAGTCGCGCGAGTTACCAACCCTTTAATGGTTGGAAATTCCTCAAAATTCGTATTCTGGGCAAAAGTGTGATTTTATTGCACCATTAGATAGAGGGGTTCATTATCTACGCGTAGGAAAAAACGGAACTCAATTCCGAGTTCGGACGAGCCCGAACGAGCCCAAAACGTAAACGGCGGACAGAGCTGAAATCTCGCAGCCGCGGGATGAAGTCGCGGCCGCGGCGAACAAAAATTGCAGACCAGTTTTTTCAGCTTTTTATGCTCGAAAATGGTGAGTAGTGAAGGAGCATTTCATCCCCAAAAGAAGGAAAAGCTTGTTGGATGGTCTCCAACAACCTCCCAACTCCACAAAACACTCCACCATCACCTCCACTTCTTCTCCATCTTAATCACTATCATCCACCATTGCCACTATTATCACCATTCACCACCTTCACCTTCTTCTTCTTCCCCCTCTCTTCTCCACCTTTTCTTTTTCTTTCTTTCTTTTTATTTTCTTTTCTTCTTATTGTATTTTGTATCTTCGGATGAAGCTTGCTTGTACTTGGATTCAACATTTTGAAGATTGATATGTAAGTTTATTTTCTCTTTAATTAATGCATGCATAATGGTTAATTTTAGAGAAATGTTTTGTTATGTTGAATTTGGTATGAGTAGCTAATCCTCTTTCTAGGGGTAGGGGATAATCATTCCGGTTTAAGCTCGTTTATGTGCATGACGATAGCTCATTCTTGACGAGTTGTTTTAATCATGAATTGATAAATTAAACTTGGTAAATGTTTATAACCTAAGAGTGACACTTAGGTTAATATGTGGAAATAATCAAAGAGTGACACTTTGATTTGTGCTTGAACATGAATTTATTAAGTTAAAGTTTGTTAATTCTTTGAATTGCGACATGTAGAACCGAAAGGGGAGGAGTCGTAGAAATAATCGATTTCATAACCGAGAGGGGAGATATTGATGGAATGTGGCTCGTTTAGGGTAGGCGTAACCGGAGACGTATCGTCTATGTGTTGATTGTCTCGATTAATCGCTCGTTTATGTCTTTTCTATCTACCGCGAAATGCTATGATGGTTGAGTCGTTAAACGAGTGGATGAGTCGAGGCCGTTAACCGAGTTATTGATTGCCATTAAATGTGTGTAAAACCGGAAGCGATTATTCCCGATTCCCTAGCTATTTATCCTTTTGTCATTTATATTTTTTAGTTAGATTTATGTTTTTCATGTTATTTCTTAGTTGATAATTATCCATCCCCATCTTGATTAGAATGTTTAGGATTTTATGTGTTTTTATGTGTTATCAACACCAATGTTAAATTCTGAATAGTCTTCCTCGAGAGATCGACCCGGGAAACGAATCATTCGGTTCGGTGCTCGATAAAAAGAAATTAATTTGTCTACAACATGAATTATAACTTGGTAGGTGGGAGGTCGACCTCGACTCACCATGAACTACCCAATATGCGGACGACCTCCTAGATATTCAGGGTTCTCCATGAATATGCTCCCACTCTGACGGATAAGAAGAAGTATATGGAGTGACTCAGCAAGGAGGGAAGACGAATCGACAGGGGCAATTTGGACATTTTGGGTCCACCGACTTAGGGTATTTTGGACACCCAAGGTAAAATGTTCCCTCCTATATAAAGGAGAAGAGGTAGCCCTAAAACCCTAACTCCCATTCATCCTACATCTTTCCTTCCCTACTGCTGCTCTCTCACAGCAGTCTCCTTTTCTCTCTCTCATACTTACTTGAGCGTCGGAGGCTCTTCGCCGGAAACATCTCTGGCGTTGAGTTTTGTGCAGGTATTCTCGCGGTCTAGCAGCGGTTCGGAGATGATTCAGACAGATCTGGGCTCATCCCATCCGGCTCACTCTAGATCTGAGAGTAACCCCATCATTTTGGCGCCGTCTGTGGGCAGTCCTTGAAGGAACTAAGGACTTCACACCTAGCTTCGATCTGTCTATAATTGTCGAGAAGGAGGGTTTGCAAAGGAATCTGAACGACGAATTCATGGGAGCTTGGACGGATAGGAGGCCACCATCTCTCTCTGCTCCTAGACCTCCGATGACGCAGATGCTGGGTCTACCACCGTTTGGGGGACCGCCGCCTCCAGGAGTGGATCTGGGCGGGGGAACGCCTACTACTCCGCCCGGAGCGAAGATGCCGGTGTTAACATCTGCAGGAGCAAGTCAACATCTCAATCCAGAAACAACCGAGATGGCTCGACAGGCAGGGAAACAAATCCAGGAAGGGCTGGAGCAGGAGCTCGTTCGATCACAGACTGAGGAGCAAACTATAACAATGACGAGAGGTGAAATGCAAAAAATGATAGCGGAAGCAGTGGCAGCTCAACTAAAGCAGGCCCAGACTGAGTAGCCTCGGGTCGAGCAGAATATGATCGAGCCATTGAGGATCAAGCAACCCATTGTCGAGCGCGAACAGCAGGCCCGGTCTAATGAAAGGTAGAACAGGAGGGCGGAGGAGGAAGCTTCTTCTGTCAGGACTGTTAACCCTCAAGCGAGGGACGAGACATTGGAACAACTATTGGCCCAGATGCGGGATCTACAGGCCCAGGTCATAGGAAGGAAAATTGGTGGCTCGAGGGGACACCCGTTCTCTCAACACATCCTCGACGCTGACCTTCCGCAGGGCTTTCGTGACATAAACATAAGTTACGATGGATCGACCAACCCATCTCGACACAAGAGGAGTTTCGAGAATATGGCAGTGCTCCACCGTTACAACGATCCAGTGCAGTGTCGAGCTTTTCTGATGACTCTGCGAGGGTCTGCCCAGGACTGGTTCCACCAATTACTGGCAGGAGCCATCAAGGACTTCGAAGGGTTCAGCTCGAGTTTTCTCAACCAATTCGCGAGTGTTAGGCCATAGGAAAAATCATATCTAACTCTGATGGGCATACAATAAAAAGAAGGGGAGTCGCTGCGATATTACGTAGCAAGGTATACGCGAGCGTGTGTCGAAGTGCCTAGAGCATCGGAGGAAATAAAAGCGGGAGGTTTAACTCGAGGGCTGCTGCCAGGCTTATGCAGAAACTCCCTGGCCAAGCGCCCAGGTAGAACGTTTGACGAAGTGTTGGGGAGATGTGAGAAATATATGAATGTCAAAGAAGCAAAGGTCGATTTCTTGCAGGCAACCAAGATAACTAAAATAGATCCTCGAGACGAAAGAAGAGAAAAAAGGGGTTCCTCGACCGGGGAGAGAAAGGGATCCCCACGAGCGGAAAGGGAAGGACGGCTTAGAAGTTGGAGGCCGACTCAGTACACCTCTCTGGCGGCCCCGCAAGCTAGGATCCTGGAAGTTATGGAAAGGGAGATTCGTGACAGTCTGGTGAGGTGGCCCAAGACGAGGAATGATGGGCCGAAATGGCCTAAGAGCAACCTATACTGTCGATTCCACAAAGATTACGGGCATAACAACGATGATTGTAGACACCTAAAAGACGAGATAGAGAGATTGATAAAGGCCGGTCATTTGAAGGAATTCATATACAAGGATCGAGAAAGGACAAGTCGAAGGAAAGAAAGGAGTAAAAGTCCTCGCAAGAGGACGAGATCACTGGAGAAGGACGAGCTTCCTTTGAAAAGAGGAGTAATTCACATGATCTTCGGAGGGCCGACTGATGGAGACTCAAACCGAGCAAGGAAAGTGTAACGCCC